CCCTATGCATAGGTAGGTAGGTCCGGTTTTGACCGCCCCAGAGGGCCCCGCAATAGGTAGGTAGGTGGTGGTGGTGGTGGGGGGGGGGGGAAGTAGGTGCAATGTCGTTGACGAGGTAGTCCTCCCCCCCCACCGGAACACCTGCCCAAGGTCCGTCGAGCCAATTAGTCGTTCAGCCAGTCCCCGCACTTCCCGTGCCTGCACTGGCCTGTAGCTGGCTGTGAGCGACAGACCGATCGCCCTCAGTTCCGCCAGGACCGCCTTTTCGCCCGCCACCGTGGCCTCACGATCCCTCTCGGCTTCTCGGATCGCGTTCTGTCGGAGTCTTACCCTGTCTGCTGCCGGCACGAATCTCTCCGGGCTGTCTCGAGCCCTTCCTGGCATGATCCGCGTCGGGGGAGGCCGATCCACTGCTGTCGCCCCGGCTCGGGACGTGCTCGCCCGTTGCGACGGTTGCTCCCCCCTTGCCGCCTCTTCTCACGGACCACGTGAGTTGCACGCAAATTCTTTTGAACACACCAGTGAGGGAGGGCGAGACGATCGAGGGGTCCCGTACCATGCGGAATCGACCCTATGGGCGCGATCAATTCTTTTCTCGCACGACACTGTGCGGCTCTCTGGCCGGCGTGGCTTGGTGGGCGCTGGCCCAACACATACATAAATGTCCCTGCACTCCATCGACCCGAGCAACCTCGACTGGACGACGCTGCTCGTCACTCTGGGCGCGGGGCTGGCCGCTGCCACGTACTTCCATCGCTGCGTCTATCGTGGCGTGCCGCCGGCACTTCCGCCGCCAGGCGGACTGCAAACCAAGGGGACGGTGCAGCTCGAGAGAGGGGACGTCGGAGGGGAGGAGGAGGTATCGCCCTCCGAGCGTCAGAGCGCAAGAGAGACGGTGCGCATCTGCACCGCCGAGCCGGCTTGACACGGTAGGTCAAGCGCGACTATGGCCGGGCGCTCGCTGCGGGCGGGATCCACTTGCTGGTGCCTCCTGCACCGCCGGCAGCGCTGCCACCGCCCGCCGACGGCGGCGACCGGGAGGCGGCCTTCGAGGCGGCTCTGGCAAAGGCGTGCGGCGGCGAGGCGCTAAGCGAGGCCACGATGGTGCGGCTGCGTGCGATGCTCTCTGTCTCTCCCGCGGTGCTCGCAGCACACCGAGTGCCGTCCCACCCTGCCCCGCACGCGGCTGAGGCGGCCCTCCGGCCCTGCAGGTGTCTCTGCTCCTCAAGCTCCAGTGCGCGCCCGCGCTCCAGTCCCACCGCTTCATCGTCGTCTGCAGCGGCGGTGGCAACGGCGGAAGCCCCCGCGTTCCGATTCCTCATTGTTGGCCTGTTGCCCAGCCCGGCGAAAAGTGTTTGGGGCCTTTGATGGGGTGGATTGGGGGGGGGGGGGGG